GTATGATGTTTCTGTTTACACGTGCACCAGCGAGTCGATCTGGCAAAGTTTTTTGCGTCTTTTGTGAAAATTAAAATTAATATAAAAATAAATATTTTGACGTTGATTAATGATGATAATAATAATAGTAATATTGTTAATAATTAAAAAATAAAGTTCTTAAAATAAATTTTTCATTCGAATTTATTAAATTCTTATATTTTTAAATTTGGTCACCAAAAGTCTTTTATAAATAATAGTACATAGTAATTGACTAATTAATAATTCTATGTTTTGGACCTAAGGTTTTTAGGGTTTATAGAAAAATGTTTCTGGTTAAAATTTTTTTTTATAAAATCATGCCAAAATATTACCTAAGAAAGGTCAGGGAAAGGTTAATCAAAGAAAATATTACGGTTTATAACACAGGGGTGGGTGGGGGTCTAAAATAGCCGAAATCGCCCTTACGTAATTTATGCACAGCCCCTTTCTACCGTTCGAATTTGGTTTGGAGAGTAAACATTCACCATTTTACTGCAGATATCTCAAATGTAAACAAGTCTTCGGCATACAATGGCAATGGTATGAATTAAAATTTCGCAAAATATTTTTTATTTGCTTTTATATAGTGAACTAATGTGTCTAAAGCATTTTTTAGTTGATTGCAAATTACAGTATAAAAGAGAAATAATAATAACATTAGTATTATCACGAAACCGCAATAAAAACCGCGAAAGGAAACATAACAAAGACAAGCAGAATTGCATTATCAGTTACATCAAATGTTCTGTTTTTCGTTTGTGCTGGCGTGGCTGTTAAACCCGACAAAATACAAAAAGTAACGTGAGAAATTCATACAGAAGTTACTTTGATCTTTATATATTTGCGATATATTTTGCTGTCGAAACAAATAAATTCCCTTGTGAACATTCCCGTAAACAACTGACGGATATAATTCTCATTGAAGTAAAAATGGTACAAAGAAACAAAATATCAAAATACGTAAAAATGCACGAAAAGCGATTGTTGTTCCAGCACTGCCGTGTAATATAATTTCAGAATTAATATATTAATGTAGATGAAATAAACATGCTACTAAGTAAATTGTTCAATTTATGAAGAAGACGTAAAATATTTAATTATTAAGAAATTTGCCGTAAAAATGGTCTTTTCTTCTACTTTATCGACTCCCTCGAGTGCTGCCGGATGAAGTAATTAACGGCAAATGCGTTTCTCTCCGGAAGATCGTTAACCACTTCTATTTGCGATAAACCGCGTGTTTACTTGACTAATTATTAAATTTACAACATTAATTTTAGTTTTAGTTTGATATTATTTTTATTTTTTATTTATACCGATATTAAATGTATTAATTATACAAATTTGGATTTTTAAATATATTTACGTAAGAAATAATTACAATTTTACTTTTGTATAATTTTGTAAAAACGATTCATTGCACTTTCGCAATAAAATGAGAATTAATTTCAATTTAATTTTATCATTTGCATAAAGCATGTATATTGGGCTGCAATTTTAAAAAATTGCAGTTTTACAAATGTGCACTTCAATCCGTCTGTCTGTGAATTTGTCTGTTTTGTCTTAATCTCCAAAATAAAGTCAAATAGATGTAATTAGAGACGGATATGGAATGAATAGAATTAGGAGACTCAGTTTAAAAATAAGACAAATACATGATTGACAGTTTGGACAATTAAGCAATGAAAATTTACAATGGATTGTTGGCGCGACAATTGGTTAACATATTAGAATTTCGAGGTAATACATCATACAGTTATACATAGATAAATGCAATGAGAAAATGGTTACATGTACTGTACAAGGTAGATACGAATACAATGAGAGTAGAAATGCCAAATAAAAGTAACAATAAGTGATGCAGTTTACATTAAGATGCCCGGGAAGTACAAATTATACAATTATAAATCACAAAATCACTAAGTTATAAAATTATAAGATTACAAAATCACAAAATATAAGATTATAAAAGATAAAAGATTACAAAAGATAAAAATTTATAAAATTTATAAAAATTACAAATTATATATTACAAAAATTAACTTATATAGATTATAAAACCATAGATTATGAATTTGAACAATGATGTGTGATTAATACAGTCCTACACGAGTACAGAGACCACATAAGACTTGTGGGGTGGTAACCTACCACAGCACCTAGTCGAGCACCTTAATGCTTGAGGCAAAGTCTTTTAAGGCATTGTAGTACTGCTTGTTGCTGATAAGAATTTTGCTTTTGCATGGCCATAAGTCGTTATTGTCTTGAACCTTGATGATCAAGCGCTGCCTTTGTGTATTGTAGTCCGGGCAGTTCCAAAGTATGTGTCCAGAGTCTTCATCCTCGTTTAGCTCACAGGGGCACTTCCCGTCGGTCTTGTGCAGAAACCTCCTTAGGTAGCTTCGGAAGTTCCCGTGCCCTGTGAGTAGTTGGGTGATGCAGTAATTGGTGATGAAGTGTGTGTAGGTGCTTCTGTCCCGAACGTTCGGAATGAAGCCAAAAGTAGTCCTACCTGTATTGCTTTTGCTCCATCTGTCTTGCCAAATTTCCCAAGTGCGGTTTCTGATGGTGTGCCTCACCCAGGTGAGAGGCGTGAGCTCGAAGGTGTAGTTGTTAACCCACGCAGGGGCTGAGCGAGCCAAGAGGTCGGCCCTCTCATTACCCGGGATCCCCGAGTGCCCCCGGACCCAGGAAAGTCGTATGTTGACGTCTTCCTTGATAGACAATAGGAGGTTGACACTTTCTTGGATGATGCTTAACTTGGTGTTAAGGTTCTTTAACTGAAGAAGTGCCACTCTACTGTCACTGAGAATGTTTATCCTATTGAACTTATGCGTGTCCTTATTATTGTTTATCCAGTGGAGAGCCCTGCAAATAGCCAGAGACTCGGCTTGGTTCACAGTGCAGTGGTTTGCCAGTTTAAACCGAGCTTGGTGAATGTTAATATTGTTGTTGGTTACAACGAAGGCACAGCCCACCCCGTCCTCAGACTTGGACCCGTCGGTGTAGATGGTATAGCCGGTGTGGTCCGTGGGACCCTCCAGAGAGAAAATCTCTTCTAGAGAAGTCTTAGGGTGTAAGAATTTCTGGTGATTATTTAAGTCCAATTTGAAGTTATTCAGGTGGTTCGAGATGTTATCGATAGTGGTGCTGTCTTCAAGGTTTTTCATAACAGTGTTAAATTTGAGGTTTGTGGTAATCCCCTTGGCAAGTTTTAGTTGCTGATAAGCCCAGACTTTTTCTTTCATGACGAGGTCAATGGGGATGAGGTTGGCTATTGCCAAGAGCGCATCCGTAGGAGCGGTCTTGTAGGCCTTGGTGCACGAAATCAGGGCGAGCCTCTGCACCGAAGAAAGTTTTCTTTTGATATGCACCTTCGTGATGGAAGGCCCCCATACTTCTGCCCCATACAGCAAGATTGGTTCTATGACAGAAATGTACAAGAGGCGGCAGACGGAATTGCTGTATCCCCAGTGATTCCGGGCGATGGAGGCAAGAGAGTGCATTACCTTGATGGCTTTCTCATAAGTGTAGTGCACGTGGTGCTTCCATGTAAGTCTGTTGTCGAGGATTACCCCCAGATACTTAAACCTGTCGCTGTTTTTAATACGTTGACCGTCCATTTTTACAATAGGGCCTTTTCGTAATGGGGTATTCTTAGGGAAGACGACACAGCTGCATTTGCCGTAGTTAATTTCCAGTTTCATGTTGTGGCTCCATTTGGAAATTGCCTGTAGGATGTTGTTGGCCCTAGCTTGAAGGACCTCTTGATTCTTGTGTGAAATAGCTAGGACCGTGTCGTCTGCATATCCTTGGATACTGCAGTCGCTGTCCCCTGGAAAGGCTGAACTTGAGGTCAGTAGGCTGTTATACATAACGTTCCAGAGGAACGGACCTGTTCTTGAGCCCTGGGGGCATCCTCTGTTGATACTCCTGTAAAGATGGGTTTGTTTATTGTTTATGACTATTATCTTTCTGTTATGTAGGTAATTCTTTACAAGGTTATAGATATTCCTCGGGCATCCAAATTCCTTAATGCTCGAGAGGATAGCAGGCCACCATGCGTGGTCGAAAGCCCCTTTGAAGTCGATCGAAACCACCATGGTGTGCTCGCCTCTTTTTTTGGCCTCAGTGATGGTGTTAACTATGTCGTCCAGTGCTGTGATCGTACTTCTTCCTCTCCTGAAGCCATATTGCTTCTCGCTTAGATAGTTGGAGTTTTCGCAGTGGTAAGTAAGCCTGTTAGCCATGAGCCCATCCAGGATTTTCCCAATGACAGGGAGGAGGGAAATCGGCCTATAGTCCGTTGAGCCTGAAGGATTGCTGTTCTTTGGGATTAACTTGATAGAGGCCGTTTTCCATATATTTGGAAAGTAGGCCATCTGGAGACACTTATTGAAGATCATGCTAAACGTGGTTGGGATGGCTTCGAAGGCCATCTTTGCCATTTTGGGGGTAATAAAGTCCATCCCTGGCGCCTTACGGGGTTTGAGTTCGCGGAACTCGGTAGCTATTTCTTGGTTAGTGAACTGACTGTCGTCTTCGTTGTTTGGAGCAATTGTGCTGTCCCTTCTTATGTTCTTCTGGGTTGCATTGTCCGTGAACGGGTCGTCATCCGGAAAGAGTTCGTTTAAAATCTAGTTGTATGTTTCTTCAATTGATGTTGCGGGGTTGTTAATGTCGATATTGAAATTATTTGGAATCTTGGAGTTTTTAATTTTACCCCTAGCAACGTAGTATGGCGTTGACATTAACAGGAGGTTAACAATTCTTATAAAAAGACCGTGATTGACAGAAATGAACAAAGAATGTGGACTTACATTTGACATGTGGATTCGATGCGTTGAACATTAATTAATTAAAATCGAATTAAAATTAATTAATTAAAGTTGATACAATAACCTAATAATAAACTGAGATTCCGGTAAAACAGTAAAGTCGTAAAAATATACATTGTTAAAACAAAATGATAAGTAGATTCATACTAATGCGAACAGAGTAACAAGACGATTCGAAGTACATTCCAGGGTAACCGTCATCCTCACCCCTATCCGTTTTCACAGCTCTCCCCTCCCCCACTCCTCTGGTCAAATATGCGTACCACGATTCGTGTAATTTATGACCGGAGTTATTATTCATAATTTTCTCTTTGTTTTTTATTATTTCCAGCAGGTGAACCCGGCGTTGCTCGGGCAAAAGTAACGATAGCCAAGATTAAAATTATTACATTATAGTTAACCTTACCTATTTTCACAGAATGCAAGAATTGGATTCCACTGTTTCCAAACTAATTAGAAAATTTTTAAATGAGTCTAAAAATATGTTCGATTTCCCGCAAAAACGAAAAAAAAACTGCATCTGCGTATTGCACGTCGCTTTCTCTTAACACTTTCATTGCTACTTAACACTTCCATTGTTACTTGTCACTTTCATTGTTAATGGAAGTGTTAATCCTGTCACTCTCCCCCCCGGGGGAATTTCGAAAAATCCCTTCTTAGTGTGCGTTTTTGTGACGTACCCTAACAATGTACCAAATTTCAACTTTCAACTCTTAACTGTTTGGGCTCTGAGCTTATTATTATTATCAACTCGTCTCGATTATATATATAGATTCATTCCCTTTACTTACGCCACTGCAAGTAAGGCGTCCATGCCAAAACCTGATTGTCAGTCAGATCAATCTCTAACATTGTATCAGTGTATAAATATATCAATTCGCTTTTAATCCCTTTTTTAATATATCAATGCAATAAAACGTACTTTTACAATACCTAGACTAAAATTTTCATAAAAGGGTTACTATATTTTTGAAAATTTGAATGTTTGATTTTCTTATTTATACGTTAGTTCACATATAAAGTATTAAAGATTTCAACTACACGATTTCGTGTAGCATACCAGCAGTGTTTATTAATTTTATGAATTTCACTTATCACAACCATCTTACAGACACATTAAAGAAGTTTGAAGTACGGAATGAAAATCCACTAACATAGCCTATTTTATAATGAAAGTCGCTTCTATTACTTTTTACTCTTTTTCCGGTTGCTTTTAAATCAGAAACATTATAACGTGTAAATGAAATAAATTTTAAAAATTATATAATAAACTTTTCTTCACCTAAACCAGATTTACAAGAAATGAGATCAAGACCTTTCTTCTCTGTGTATCCACTCAAAGCCAGACAACCTCCGAAAAACGTCAGCTGAAAGAAATACGTAAAACAGATGCAGGTCGCAGCATAAAAGCCGAATATTCTAATTACTGGAAATGGGCAGTTCATTGCAATACAATAAGAACAAAAATTGGTTAACGAAGTTATAGTTATGGATACTGCTGCATTCGAATACGTATCCTCCATCCGCTTTTCAACTGGATCACGAGTATTTGTTGTTCTCCAACATGCAATCACTACGAAAGAATCGTCCACTTCTGTCACTGAAAAACAATTTCAAAATATTAGCCAGAAAAAAAACGTACACATTATATAACATATTATATAACCTACCCAGAATTGCAAATGGGAGAGCAACGTTATAATATGTGCTTTCTACACCACACGCAAATAGTAATCCAAACGAGGCAGCTACAGCCATTCCGGCTGATATGACACTGGCTACACCCATCCACGGTTTGCTTCTAATCCAAGTATTAGTCATGTTACTCAGCATGCTGAAGAGACATACCACGATTATGGTGACGCTTATAAATGGTATTATCTCCTGCAAATCTAACATAACATTAACATCAGTCGAAGCGAATGGCTCGAAAAAAGTGTCAATATACTTGAAATTGCATTTTTTTATTTTTTTATAAAGTGCTTTACTCCATGCTTTACTCCACTCCGCTTTACTTGTGTTACTGTCATCCAATGGATATGATAAACGCATGGCGTATACTTCTTGTATATAATCGTTTTCGTCAACGATCACACCTCCTAAATTGAATAACATTATCTTATATGAATACGTTAAAGGATCGATATCTATGGGATACTTGAATTTCCGTCTCTTTGAAACCACATCATCCGGATGGTTTAACAAAGTAGAAATAGGATTTTCGAAACATTTTTCATAGACCCGTCCACATACATCGTTGTAACCAATTCGCTTTTTATCAACATGCACAGTGACGTTATTTTCTATTTCGCTTAACATTTGAACTTCGAGTAAAATATTTTTCTGAAACATGTTTTTATCTTTTTTGTGTTTTATGTAGATCGCAGGTACGACTGGACGATGAGTTATTCTTTGTAAATCGTAAAATTCCGAAGTGTTCATTGGAAATGTTTTGTCTATGAATTGTCGAATTTCAAAAATATTTCCTCTGTCAGCACATAACAAATAATTGACATCATAAATATACTTCATATTAAAGAATCCAATACACAGTAAAGCGCAGGCAATGGAAGGGATAACAATGTAATAATACGGATGTTGGGCAATGTTTCTTCCAAATTTGCCGAAACACTTGCGTAGGCTTTCACTTAAACATGAAAACTTTAAGTTTCTCTCCATCTTTTAACGTTGTGCTAAAAAGGTAATCATTTTTTAACAATTTATTAAATTAGAAGTTTATTTAAAATTATGAATTAAAATAAATTATGCTATTCAAAAACACTTTCAATCTATTTTTATACGGGTTTAATTCAAAAAGTTTGGAAAATATTGAATTCTATTTTACATATTGCAGAAAATTTGTTGTTCCAAAATTTGCATACGTATACAATAATTTGAATACAATAAGCCATTTAATGACAAACCAATTAACGCAGTATCTGAAATTGATAAGGCAGTTAAATTATATAATTTACAGTAAACTGTAAATTATATGTCCACTTTATTTTAAACTTAAATAGGGTTAAACATCTTTATTTTTCTCTACTTTTTAAAAAACCGATATTTTCATTTCCTTGCGTTAACGTAAGAAATCTTTAAAAGTCTAATCTTTTTAGATAGTGACTTTTGCTTTAATCTAAAAAGAAAAGATAACACAGCGACAGATTTCGGGTTCATTTACAGCAGGGTTGTCCAATCTTTTTACGTTTTGGGCAAAATTAGAAATTTACTGATATTCAGCGGTTTAGAAAGATACTTTATATATAAAATATATGCTTTTCAAAATGTTCAAAATATAAATATCAAATTTTAATAACAAATATATATATACAGGGGGTGATCGGTTAACGAACAGTTCGGTTAAAGAACAAATCGGATAACGAACACTTTTGCGAAAGATTTTTATGTTCGTATAACTCGCTCAACCCGGTATTTACGTACCAGATAGCAACCATCCAAACTTTGAAACTCTCCCTTGTAATTCCAGCCTTTTATTTTTGTGACAAAAACAATTTTTTATAGTATTCACGAGACTGTCGGGTAGGCACTCGTTAATTAAAGTTTTGCGTCGGTTTTTATTTTGGAAAGGTAAGAGCTTAATAAAACAGTTAGAAAGTGGGCAGATATCTCATGTCTGTTGTTGCTGGGCAGTATGGCTCGAACAGATCTACAGTAAGACGCAATTATATCTTATCTAAGATAGATATTGTATTATCAAGAATACTCAAGCAGCTGAAAGAGTAACAAAAATCACATATGAAAAATAAAAAACATTGAAGAGCTCATAATGGAACCTGAAACGGATCTGACGACGGAAAAACGCCAAAAACTCTTGAATGAAGAACATCGAGAAACTCGGCGAGATATCTTTTCTTCTGAAAAAGAGGATTAATGTCGATATCTGCTATTACACATTTTTTTGACGAAGTGGGGTGATGTCAGAACGACGGTCTTAGAATGACATCCAAACCAGGTTGAGGTTAATAGGTTTAGGGATGTCTACAATTACAATGCCATTAATTACTTCTGAAAAGCCTTGAAGAAGAGAGAAAAGCAATCGACATTGGACAGATTCTTTAACCCCCACAAACGGAAAACATTACTAATAAAAATGCGAGACTGCATATATACGTATTTTTACTATTACATATAAATAAAAATATCCGAAAAATGAAATAGTATATATTTTTTTATTTTTTCGAGTCTCCGGAACGAATAAATCAAATTCCCATAAGAACCTATGGGAAATCGATAATCCGTTAACGAACAAACTCTTGGAACGGATTATGTTCGTTAATCGATCACCCACTGTAATCACAAAAGATACTGTATATTATTGACAGTAAAAAAATGATATTCACACAACAAAAAATAAATTCAATGTAATTTTTGACAATTTTGCGGATGAAAAT